AAGGAAAGACCGCAGATTGCCATATGTTGCTTAGAATGATTAGGTAAATTAAAATGTCTAGCGACTGGTTTCGATGTGTCCTTGTCATTCCTTTCCACGTCTCGAAGGTGTTCTCGGAATCGGTCACCTAGTCTTCTGCCTGTTTCGCCGATGTATATCTTTTTGCAATAAGTGCAAGTTATGCAATAGATTACATTGGCGGAGGTGCACGTGAAGTGATGGGTGATCTTAATGGATCGTTTAGGTCCCGATATTTTATCAGTGTTGTGAATGAATAAATGAGTGAATGTTACTTGTCGCACACAGTATCCCAGTTAATTTGTAAAAAGTTGTTGAAACGATGATGAAATTGCGCCAGTGGATTTGAAAAGTGTCCCTAATTCCTATTCCTATTGTACAAACCGAATAATTGCCGATCAAGACCCTAGTAGTAGAAAAAAGATGCTATCATTAAATATCTTTCAATTCACAACTTGAAAGCAGTCACTATCTGTGGAACAGCAGGAAAAACTCGGCTCAACCACTCGATGCAGATAACTCTTCTCCTGAAGTTATGTCATTTTCTCGAACAGATTAAGAGTCGCTCCTAACGCCCAACTAACTTCAACCCCATCGATTTTCTTTTGAAGCTGCCAAAAGACGAGAAATGCGCGCATCAGAAATAATCACGTACACAAATGGCTACAGAAAGCAACGGTTGAAAAAGTTGATTTCATTGAATACTCTGTGAAGTTGTTACTACCCTTTTTTGAGCGAGTTTTTCTACAATCAGAAATTCGAAAACAAACAAGTAATTGCACGATGTATACTTTAATCGTGGTTAAATCTTTCACCAGGGAGCAAAGAACCAGTTAAAATTTTCCTGGCCATCGTCATGTGGCTTCGTGTGTAAGGTCTACACTCCAGGCTTTGGAGTTCCATTAGTTACACGCTTAACGTTCTGCAGTTTGACTGAAAGGACTCAATTGTCGCCTACCACCCCAAGTGAAACAAAATTTATTCTGAAAGCTGTTTGAAACAGATTTTAAATTTGATCACTATGCCCTCTAAACATAAAGGGACAACAGTAAAACCAATGACAACAATAAAAACAACAACAAAGAAAACGAAAAAAAAAAAAACAAACAAACAACGAAGAAAACAGCAACGAAAACAACAAGAGAAAAAACAACAAAGAAACAACAACAAAAATTTGAACTTACAGTCAATTTTCTATCTTCTGTGAAACCAAATCCCTCCATTAAAAGGGCTACTATGTAAGTGGAATCCAAACAAAGGTAGGGTGACATCTTTAATTCCTGCAAACAAGCTGCCAAAAACAAAAACAGAAAAAAAACAAAAACACAAAAAACATAGACACTAACCATCATTTACCTGGAAAACCAATCGAAGAAAATATTTGAATGTCGTCAAACATGCGAGCACAGTGCAAGTGAAAAATCTGACATATAAAAGGAACAACAATCTGTTCTATAACGAACTATTTACATTACACCATGTAACTGAAATATTCAGAAAGAAGTACCTTGTTTAGCACCCTCTTGAAATTGACCAACAGTGATTATTCCACCTTTCTCCGAATCTATAATAAATGTGACACATATATTGATCTTAGAAAAAAATGGAAGCTTAGAATGAGCTTGTAAGCCAATTAAGTAGTCCATCTTTGATGACATCTGAAACTGTTCCCATCGCATGCCACTTTCCCTGGGTGGGGAAAGGTCTTACTTATTTTATTCCCCCCCTACCCTTCGGCCAGGCTTTCTTGTGACCATTTCTAACCCTAGGTAGTCAGAGGTTCAAAGAGAATGAAGAGTCTAGCTCAAGGACACGGTTATTCAAGCTTTCCTGGGTTGGTATAGAACAGTACCAGTATAAAAAAAATTCAGTTCATAATTGAAAATGATGCAAGACACACAGAAACATGTTTTGCAAATTAAAAAATTAATTGTGATCTAGTTTTAGAACCAAAACCAACAAATTATATCTACAAAACGTACATTAATTGAGAAGGAACCGTTGTTGTTAATTACACTTACGGATTAGCCCCAAGTCCACTGCTCTCTCATAGTAGTATGAAAAGGCGTACATTGGTACTGGGTCAATGCCAACTGATAAGAAACAGACAAAAGAGAAAAAAATCTGCAGATCAGAAAAACACAAATACATAGACATGCAACTTAGAATGCACATGCCTCTTATAGGGTTGGGACAGGACATCATTGGACCTTATTCATAACAAATTCCTCC